AATACAATCATAGCAAACGTAGCGACAGGTGCGATCAGCACGTTTGAACATGATCGCCAATATGTGAATATGCACATCGCACGTACTAATCCAACTAGCACTATTTAAATTAACAATAATTAGCATATACAGTATAAATTTACACTATCAAAATAAAATTTAAAAACTTACAAACAATGAACGCGCATGCCGTTCCAGTGTAGCAAGCTGATTTAACAATCTGGGGCAATTTACCAGTCTCGGTATTTCGGTAAACCACCCAGCACACCGCATATCCCGCGCCCACTATTATTGCCATTATGGGCAGTTCAGGGGCCGCGTAACAATCCGTCACATAGATTGACCCTGGTCATAGTTATTGGCATTTAAGTAACAATGTATAAAAGTAAAAGTTGTAAATGTAAAATATAAGTTACCTAGTACAATCAGCATTAATTGTACGCCGTATGTCAAACATATAGTGATTGTTTTGGGAACTAAACACAACATGGCAATATAATTAGATCATTATATATTTGTAAAAAGTGACAATTATTTTAATTGCTTTAGATAATTACCATATATCGCCAGCCAGTCGAGCATATAATCCTTAACATGTCCATTTTTTATATCAAAACTGTCATAATGATCATGTTCATCATTTGTGTTCATCACAGCCGGTGATTTGCCATCATTATCCATAGCTATATTAATATTAGCAAGGCCACGAGGGCCAAATGCTAATATTTGTGGCTTGTTCTCGGTGGTGGTCATTTTACTTGCCACTTATTTTAGCCAAAACCCTTTGTGTTGTTTATAATAACTTTTGCTATGAAAACAAATTACTGGAAATACTATATAATAATATCTCTATTGCTGTTTAGTATAATGTAATTTTACATAACATGACTGGTTTATACATAAAGTTTTTTCTGTTTTTACAATTATTGTATAAATAGGCATTTTATTGCATATGTGTTACGCAATAGTGTTGTATAAATAGTTGCACGTTATTTGTTAATAAATATAAAATGTATTTTTATTAGACCATTTATAAATAATAGATACACTATTTTAGTGAATAGTTAAAATTTATTATAAAAGGTACGAGTTTGTTGTTTTCTCAATGCACTTATGCGGTTGTTGATAATTAAGCTAGTTTATAAGACAGAATTTATTTAATATTTTTTTAATTTAATTTTAATAATTATAAATGTCATAATTTTTATATTATACAAAACAATTAAATATATCTATTTAGATGACAAATATATTAAATATTCTTTATCCAGTTATTCGCATTTAGTTTAAAGTCAAGTTTATTATAATTAATTAAATTATAATTATTATTATAATAAAAATAAAAATTATAATTAATTATAATTGTATCAAGAAATATTTTAATGTAAAATCATCGAGATATATTAAAACGTGTTGTGCGTATTACAATTAAACTAGTTAACTTAAAAAATTGAATCTCATAACAAGTATTATTTTATAAAAATAATAAATAAATGACAAAATATTTTATAAAAAATAAAATAATAAAAGTTTCTATGTTTATTAAACCCAGAACAAATAGAAATCACAGTGTATAAAATGCACTAATTAATAAAATACACCTTTGTAAGTTTTACGTGACTTTAGTTCTTTTGCAACCGGATCAAACACCTTTAATTTTACCACAGTCGCTGTAACACCAAGGGCAAATATTGACGCTATTGCTATTATGGTCGGCGAACAACGATTATAACAGTGGTCACCACCTTTAAAAATAGCCTGATACAATGCAAATACCACTATGAAAGTAAATACAGTGAATCAATTAACATTATAATTAGTAATTGGCACCAAAAAAATACATACAGACAATAAATGCAAATGCTGCGGCCGTGTAACATACTGATTTAACAATCTTGGCCAGTTTACCAGTTTTGCCGCGTATGAGCCAACACACGGCGTATAGAGTACCCATAATTATGGTCATTATTGACAGTTCAGGTGTTCTGTCACAGCCTTTCACTAAGAGTGTTCCTAAACATTGTTTTTGTTTTTAAAAAATTGGACATTGCACAATAATTATAATTTATACAATATTATTTTATTAATAAAAATTAATTTAATTTAAATGCTAGCTAAATATTTACCCAATATGATCATTGTCAACTGTACGCCATAGGTCAACGAGTATTGTATCAGTTTGGGTACTAAAATTAGCGTGATTAGTTATATTTTAAAATATTGTTCATAATTAGTATTTTGTTTTTATTTTTAAGTGCTTACCATAGATTGCCAATTTATCCAGGGTATTATCTGACAGGTATCGGCTTTGTTGTTTGTCAAGGCTATTGGATCTATCAAGGTCCACTGCGGTGACCAAGGGCGTAAATTTAGCATTATACCCGGTGCCCAGATTGATATTGCTGAGCCCCTGTCCGCTAAATCCCAGTGATTGTGGCCTATCATTGTCCCAGTAATCCGACATTTCTACCTTACTTGTTTTATTTGCTTTGTTTTATTTCATATGAGTTATGTAATAGTAGGCATAAATAGGCACGTTATTTGTTTAAATTTATAAATTGAATTTTTATTATGCCTTTTATAAATAATAAATACATTACTAAATTGAATAGTTAACATTTAGTAAAAATGGGACAAGTTTGTTTTTATCAATTCATTTATAAGGTTTTCAATAAATTAAGCTAGATTCTAACTTATAATTTATAAGACAAAGATTTGATTTTATGCTAGTTTTAATAATTTTATTTTTTGCACAAAATAGATAAACATTTTATATTAATTGTAATGTAATTAGATATTTGTTTAATTAAATTTAATAATTAATATAGTTATATAATATAACAAAACTTTCTACGGTTTATTAAATCCAGAAAAATAACACAAGTACTGTGTTTAAAAGGCAGATATTAGTAAAATATCCCGGTGTAAGTTTTGCGTGAATTTAGCACTTTTGAGACAGGGTCAAATACCTTCAATTTAACCACAATGAATGTAGCTCCAAAGACAAATATGGACGCTGGTGCTATTATGCCGGGTGAGCACGAATGCTCTCTGTATGAATAGTAACCACTTGTGAAAAATGCCCGAAACAATGCAACTGTCACTATAAGTTAAGTGAAATTAATTGACATGATAATTATTAATATGCAAATATGCACAAAAAAACAATACTGTAGTAATATTACATACACACAACAAATGCACACGCTGAGACCGTGTAGCATACTGATTTGACAATCTTGGGCAGTTTACCAGTTTCAGTATTGCCACGTATGACCCAACACACAGCGTATAGAGTGCCCATAATTATGGTCATTACTGACAGTTCAGGGGCTTTATTACAGTCACTCACGTACACCGACCCTAGTTATTTTGACAATAAATAAATATTTGTATATACAGTACAAATATGTAAAGTATTTTATTATTATTCTATTTATGAAAATTAATTTGGGTTTAAAAGTTGAAAAATTTACCCAAAACAATCATCATCAACATTACGCCATAGGTCAGCGCAAATCTTATCAGTTTTGGTACTGAAATTAGCATGATTAATAAAATTTATTAATTAATGTTTATAATTATTATAATGTTCATGTTTGCTTACTTTTGATCGCCAATTTATCCAGGGTATTATCCGACAACTGTGGATAATACATACCGCACCAGTAGCCACATTGGTGTTGATCAATGCTGTTGGATCTATCACGATCCACCGCGGTGACCAAGGGCATAAATTTTGCACTGCTCTCAGTGCCCAGACTGATATTGCTGAGCCCCTGTACCCCAAATCCCAGTGTTTGTGGCTTTGTATCCGACATTTTTACCCTCTTTGTTTGATTCCCAGTTAATTACTGACAAAACTCTTTGTGCTGTTTTCAAATGGCATTTATTAGAAATACACTTTTATACTGTATTATACTTTATACTGTATTATACTTTATACTGTATTATAGTATTGTATTTTTTAGGCAAATGTACATTTAACGATTTTATTACATGTATATACTGTTGTCAAGTGAACAAATAGGCAAGGTTAGTACATTATTATTTGTTGACAACTTTTACCATGTATTTCAACAACAGAATTAAGTGTTTTTGTTATTTTACTTTTACATTCAATAATATGTTTGTACAAAATATTTTGTGCAGTACATAAAGATCAATAAAACTTACATAGTGCTTTTATTTCTATGGTAATTGCATTTATGGTGAATTGATTTGTTCAATAATAAATTTAAGTACTTTCAACTTAAAATATGTAAATTAATTATAAATTACATTTGTATTAAATAATGTGTAATGAAGTATGTTTATAATTTAAATAATTATGCTCAAACAAATAACTTAAAGTATGTTAAAAAGCTATTATGATCATTTTAATAATTACAAGTAGAGTATTAAAACATCATTATATACTAATTAAATCATAATTACATAGTTGCGTGATTAATCAATTTATCAACGCTTAAATAATTTTGCAACGATCGAGATAATTATGAACTTTGCAATAATAGCGAACACGATTACAATCATGCTGGAAATGGTCAAAAATATACCAGGATGACAGTAAAGTTCTCTTGGTTGTGTTGTTGGATGCCAACCATGCGAGTTATATTGTTCAAAAGTAACACCATAGGTTGTGCGAATGACCAGGGTGGCAACTTAATTAATGTAATTAAATAAACAAACAAAACAATTTTATGAAGGTTATATCCAATAAAATAGCAATTCATAAAAACAAAGTAAAATTACTAACGGCCAATAAATGTGGATAAAATAACCAAGTACCAAATCCACTTAATAATTAAATACAACTCGGTTTTATTATCACCGTGGTATAAATTGCAACAAAATGCATACAACACTCCGATTATAATTGTTAATATGGGAATCGCTGGGTTAATTGGGCATTTGTGCAAATAAACTGATCCTGTTATTTAAAAGTTTAGATTTTTCATTAATAATTAAGTATAAATAGATTACATTTATTTTTGTAATTTACCCAAAGTTACCAGGGTAATTTGAATTCCAGATGTAAGGCATGTTGATACAATTAATGTAACTTTATATAAAAAACAATTATGCAAATTTAGTAGAATAATAATGCTTAAAATCTTACCAGTGATACGCATTGTATCAAGCAAATATTGTATGCGAGACAAATTGATTGTGCCATAATCATTTTGCAGGATATTGCTGTTGCTGTCCGTATAATCTGATTCAGATGCCATACCAATAGCAAAACACTGTTTATTTAATCTAGGCAGTGTGACCGTGTCGATCTTCATTGTATAATTCAGAATAATTAAACTAGTTGTAGTTTAACTTGTTTGTACTTATATTAAAACTTTATTATCTATTTATAACATTAATAGACATAATTTATGTCACATAAAGAGTTTTAACTATTTTTTTATGTTATTTAAAAGCAATGATAATTTATCATTGATAAATGTTTAAATAATAAGATATTACATAATGTTTCTCTTATATATAGTGTGCGTTTGTTTTGACAACAAAAACAAATTAATATAAAACAAACTAAATTTACTTTTACTTTTACAAAGTCACTGACATTATGTCAATAACTTTAATCAGGGTAATGACCAAAACAATGTGTTTTTATTATTATTCTAATAAAGGTATTTTTAAATACTTACTTGTTAAAACATAATAAATTAATTTATAAATAGACACAAAGCAAATATAATTCAAGCATTTTATTAAACAAAATAAGTTTGTATAATCATTATAATTTAATTAATTTAATTTTAGTTAATGCAAAAAAATAGTTTATTTTGTTTAATTATTTATAAAAGATTAATTTGCTTAACAAATTGATTATAATTAGTTATAGTTCTTATATTTTTAGATAAATCATTATATAATTGTGAAACGTATATAAAATACGTTTATCACAAATAGACTTATGCCAAATTAATTACAAAATATACCATTTCTAGTGGTTTAATAAAATTCAATTTCATTTAACTACTTTACCTGAGAGGGAGAGGAGGGGAGAGAGAGAGAGAGAGAGAGAGA